CACTCCATCGAAGTTAATGTTTAGTCTGGAACTTTGGTTGCCAGTGTATCTGTCAACAGGACGCCCACCTTACGAAGAGTTGCGTGAAAATGTGTCAGAGTTCGTGAAAGTGTTATCAGAAAGGATGGATGATATTCACCATGAAGTGCATTCAAACTTGAAAACTTCTGCTGATTCGATGAAGTTATCTTATGATAAGAGATATACTGAAGTCAGCTTTGTACCAGGAGACAAGGTGTGGTTGTATAATCCCAGGAAGACCAGAGGGAAGTCTCCTAAGTTGTCTTCTCCATGGGAAGGCCCATATGACATAGTGGATCATCTCTCAGACGTGACTTTCCGGATAAAATGTGGTCGGCGAAGCAAGCCAAAGGTGGTGCATGCCAACAGGCTTTGGCGTTATCACGGTCCAGGACATTTCAGTTGGGATAAAGTGAACAACAGAACAAATGATGCTACTGAAGACGTGTCACCTGAAAACGCCACTGTTGAAGAAGAAACTCTACCCGGTTTTGAGAAGGGAAACAGTGAAGCTCTTGATGAAGTTACTACCACTTATGTGACTGTTATCGACGATAGGACATTTCCTGATGAAGCAGATGAACCCCATATGAAGCAGAAGCCAACGAGGCGGAAACCAGTACGGAAGAAGATACGTCCCGTAAAATTAAGAGACTTTGTTGAATTGCAATTTTGTGTTTGTAATTCTGTACATTTAATTAAGTTATTGTTAATTTTCTATTGGTTTAATGTAAGTGTCTATTGTTCGGGGCGAACAATACTAAGGACGGGGCAGTGTTACGACAGCGGGGGTCACGTGACGCTAGTAACACGTTATATTCTCGAACGTTCACGTCCCTTCCTAAAATCTCGAGAGCCTATTAGATATGCGGTAGTCTTATACATATAAGACGGTCAGGACGTGACAACAACAATGTGTAATTGAACTGCGGACAGAGAGACGTATTGTTGAGTCGAGCACCTGAGACGTTCGTTGTGAATTATAGCGTTTGTGGAAATTAAGTGTATTGCAAAGTTTTGTCTAGAAAGAATAATCCAGTTTTATTTAAGAAAGGACTTGTATCGCTAAAGTTTCTTCGGAAAGAAATTATACGAAAAATTAACTAACGAACGGAGGCGTAACAATATGCTATTTTCTAGTTGTGAAATTAGCAATTCTTTCTCAACTGCGACATAATTCTGAAGATGGCTCTAAAAAAGGATATGAAACTTACCCAGTGAATATTGAACAAGGAGATAAAAGCCTTAAAAGTATCAATCTTTAGTATTACTAGTCTTATTCATAAGACAAACATCATATTAGAAACTTCAATAGCCAAATACCATCCCAAACTGACTTTTATATTTTCCAACTGGTTGAACTTAAATTCATGAAACCTACTCTTATGTGTGTCTATTAAAACCAAATAAAAAATATATCTAAGTAATGTGGCTTTATTGGGCATTAAAGATATATAAATTCAGTTAGCTTTTTTTTTTTGCCGTTTATAGTATACAGTTTTAAAAATGATAACACCGTTTTCATCAGGAAAAAAATAAAAATACTTTCGGAATTGTTTTCATAAATTAAACTACCATTTTACTGTATCTATAGAGGTAAATGGTAAACTTTAAAATATATTAGAAAATCCTTATCCACCAAAAATAATAAAATTAAAAGACAGATTTTTAAAAAATATAAAAATATCATTTGCTAATTTTAAGGGATGTCAACACATAACAAATATTTTGAAATATTAATGAATAACAAGTTGTTCAGACACCATTTGTAATGTTGTATACTGATATTTTTTAAAGTATATACTCTGATTTCTTTGCCAAAAAAACTGACTTTTGGATCTCCAGTTTTTTATTTATTGGAATGTAACCAGCATGTCACTTAAGAATTCACTTAGTAACATATATGAGAATTAGCTTTGCACAAACAAAACATTAAAATTTATTCTATAAACTTATGAGAGAAAGCAAAGAAGAATATTAATAACATGCTAACTATACTATATCGGCTATAATGCCAAAGAGGCCTTTCGTTTAATACCACAACTCATCAGGCAGGCTGTGATACAAGGTCTCAGTTTAGACTCTTTCATCATGCTAAGGGTAAAGTTTGATCGAAAACCACAAGTATTAGATAATTATGTTTCCAATATTATAATTTTCTTCGTTAATTATAAAATTTTAAGATACAGGTCAATTTCGTTATATCTTTCGTAAAATAAACACAATAAATCGAATAAAATAACGACGATATACGGTTGGTTGATTTTGCTTTCCATATATATATCGCGAAAAAGGAATACGAAATATAA